TCTATATTCTGTCATAAAAAACTGACATTTGCAATATCCAGGCAAGAATGAACATCAGTAAGAGGAAATCAAAGCCCAAGGGAGAAGAGGTGGCTGATGGTGGGAAACACTTTAACACTCCAAAGGAAATCGTGTCTTCTGAACTGGACAACGTCCCAGAATACTGAGAGGGTATAGAGAAGGTTGCTAATCATGCCTGTGGTTTTGAGGCACTGAGGAGGAGAGAGAGGCTGAAAGACGGGAGATGGGCAGGTTTTCTGGAAGGTAAGACTATGAAAGCATATACGGCATCATTTCTGGGACACAGATAGAGAAGTGCTGATTCCTAGGCTCTAATGTGGGTTTGCTAAGAATAAGTCATGGCAGGCACACTTCATGTTCTAACAGGCTGCTGTCTAACTGAGTTTCATCAAGGCCTGTCTGCATATCCTTGTGGAAAAGATGAAGGACTATGACTAGATGCAAACCTAGCTATTTTCATGGAGGTTGATACGACCATATGAGTACCTGATCTTCTGATGGTTGTCAACCTGGAGGAGGCTTTCAGTGGCAAAATCTAAGAGTTGGCTTCAAAAAAAAAAAAAAAAAGTTGGCTTTAGTTCTTTGTCAGAACTTTCATTCACTGTTGGGATGAAGATCTAATGTCTCGGTCAGTAAAGCATAAAGATAACATTAAGTGGCACAGCACCAACAATTAGAGGGTCCTAAAATACCAGGAGAGCCTAGGCCACTGGGCTGATTGAAGAAGAGGTAATTAAATAGAAGTGAATAAAAGGCTCCTCATCCCTAAGTCCAGGCAGTCTCTCCTGCGTTGAGGAGTGACCTGGTTTAGCCTGGATGAGACCCTTTAGAGTAGCGCAATCAACAAAAATGTAATGCAAATTATAGACATTATTGGTTTAAAACTTTCTAGTAACCACAGTCTCACATTCTGAAAAGTAAAAAAAAAAAAAGAAAAGAAAAGAAAAAAGCCTCAGGTGAATTTGAATAATATATTTTATTTATTTTTAATAATATATTTTAGTTTACCAGATATTCTCAAATTCTATCATTTAAATGTGTAAGCAATATAAAACTTACTGAGATATTTTGCACTGTTTTTTATACAAGCTTTAGTTTCTGATCTCCAGTGTGTATTTTACTCTTCATAGCATCACTCAGTTTGGACGAACCACATTTCAAGTGCTCAGTAGCCACATGTGGCCACTGAAGTGGACTGAACAGCTTTTAGGTTTTCAATGACACTTGGCTATGATGAGACAGACCCTCTCAGACTGTGCATAAAGCAGACTGTGCCCAAAGCTATTCCACTTAGGAGGATTTAATTTCTTTTAATAGAAAAAGAGTCTGGGCTCTTTTACATACAAACTCTGGAAGCTATACTGGTGCCTGCTGTCTATGACCATAATCATATGTGCTAGGACAATTTCAGTGACTAAAATGCTAGAATTTTAAGGAAGGGAACACTTATATGATAGTCTTTTTCTTCTCTTGTTTACCTCCCCATGTCCTTGGATAAGTCTTTTTTGTTCATGGTACAAGTCATTACTAGAGCTAGTGGTAGCATATTTTTTTCAAGGACTAGAATAAACTTCTCTTTCTATTCCCATTTCTAATAACACTCAATGCAGCTTTTCAAATAGGTTTTAAGTTTTCACATCCTGTTCCCTTTTCACCAACTTCTGGGCACTGACATCCATTCAGGAATCTAGCAACCTAACCAATAGTGAACACAGCTGAGAAGCAGGAAGTTAACGTAAGTGAATGAGTAAGATGAGTATCAAAAAAAGATGTTAAAAATGCACAAAAGTTCAAGCTCAAAAATATCACCCTTCATTATCTCCCTTTTGCAGATGAGAAAACTGAGGTTCTGATAAGTTAACTGGCTTCCCCAGTGTCACAGAGATTAAGTCTAATTCCAGTCAAGCATCCTTTCTGCCTCATTACGCAGCTCCCTGGAATAACACTTTTCCTTGCGGGACTGAAAGACTATTATCTAACTCAACATCTTTCTTCCACCATGTTTATTTTCTCTACTTGTGAATTCTTCGTAGTTGAGTATATTCTCTGGAGCAGGTTGCTTGGTTCTAATGCTGGTTTGACCACTTATAAACCATGGGATGTGGCTCTATTTCCTTATCTGTAAACTGGGGATAGGAAAAGCCCCTTATCCATGTCAATGAACTTATCCACATAAGGCGTTCAGAACAGAATCTGGCTTGTAATAGGCACTAATTATTTCTTGTATTCAGAGGGTAAGAGACTAAGTTTGCACTGTTCTTTACTTGAGCTCTAACACATGAAAGCTCTGGCTTAAAGGGAACTTGGGTTTTGTCTACTATAACTTCCCAGCCTAAGCACTGCCCCCGCAGTACTCCTGGACAGATGGGTATCTCTAGTTTACTTGGTGAGAGCTTGCTGCTTCTGGCACCACTACTTCACTTTTGGACTAACTTCTGGGAAGGAAGTTGTACCATAGTGAAAAAACTTGGGGTTTAGAGCCTGGTCTTTTTTTTTTTTTTTTTTTTTTTTTGCATTTTTTGGCTGGGGCCAGGTTTGAACCTGCCACCTCCGGTATATGGGGCCAGCGCCCTACTCCTTGAGCCACAGGCACCACCCAAGAGGCCAAATTAACATTGAAGAAATAAAGAAAATACTTTAAAAATCTACTATATGTACATGTACATGTACATCTATGTGTG